CTTTTCGAATTATTTTATTGAGTTTGACCAAGATTGCGCAAAATTTATAAATATTATGCAATGAATACATGAGATATTTTTAAAGTTATTGCATATTTTTGTAATTAATTATTCAAAATATTTAAACTCAAAATTTCGATGTCGAATTTTGCAAGCAGTCAGTTAAATTCTTGTTAAAGCAAAATTCATCTGATATTATATGCAAAAAATTATTATTTTTTATTTTATACTTATTATAATGTTTGTTTAATTTTGAAATTTTATTTGTCCGATATTTTTAATCTCTCTCTCTCTCTTTCTCTCTCTAATAAAAACAGTATTATAGACGATAATAGAATAATGTAAAATTATTATCGTGTTAAGTATATAATTATACGTTTATATATATGAAAGCGCGGCTAATACATAGAGTATTCTTCATCTATAGCAAAAAGGTAGCAACGTGTCGGTACGTCGTTCCGCAGAAGCGAAAGGGTGGCGTGAAAATTGCGGATAATACCTGGTCAACCTAACGGTAGAATCACCATTAGTCCTATTAGTCTATAGTCAGGTACATTCTGACAGATACACTACCCATGAATACTGTAAAAGATACAGTGTATACAAATGCGCCATCAAAGGAAAACCAAAGATGGAGTTAGGCTATAATGAGATTACTTACAAATTTATAAAGATTTTTCAACCTCCCGCATGCTAAAAGGATTAACTTCTTAAGGTACGGTGGTAAGACAACTGACCGCATTTTTTTATCTTACAATTAGGTTGCGAAATTATGCTAGTATAACAATTAACCAAATATCGCAATATGACGGTATTCTATGATTATATGATTGTATTCTTGCATATATTTAATTATTTTTATTTTGACAATTTATTTTATTTTAATGGCAACGGCTTTTTTAAATAATACAATTTACGTGAAACCTTGTCAAGTGTTACTTCTTGTTTTCAAAGTCAGGAAGAAAAAGTCTTGATCTTTTTCAACTTTACGTGCTGCAATTATATTTACAGTTACAATCGAACATAATGCTCGATTGTAATGTACTCAATACTTGCGAGCAAAGATTCGCCTTCGTAGTGAAGAAAATGACGGAAATAACGGGAGCGTTGCACCTGTTATAGCCGTACGCAAAAACAATCGCTTTTTCCGAGATAATTCGCGTAGATACAATTGGTTAGTATTTCGAAACCGTTTCATCGGCACAGCTTCTCAAAACTCTATCCGCGATACATCCTATTCAGTCGGAGAGACGATCGATGTTAGATAAACGGTGGTCGACCATTACCAGCCTACTTCGTGTAATTACTGATCCTCAGATACATCTTCTATCTTTGCGTTTTGCACCGACTCAATCTCACCAAGTTTCTCTGATCGAATCGACTTGCCGTATCGTTTGGAATTTCAGCATATTAATTATTTTTGACCAAACAATTTTCTATTAGAAATTCTTTAATTACTAATTACTATATTAGTATATTAGAATTATTTAAATTTTCTAATTGTATATATAAAACATAAATTTTTAAATACAATTAAGATCTAAATTACTTGAATACCTCAGTAATTATGTAATTTCTTTGCTATACTAAAAATTGCGTAATTTCCATAATTATATAATTTTTGCTATATTAAAAATTGCATAAGCTCAATATAATGATTTTTAATATATCAAAGATGGATGACAAATGTTATTTATAAATCACCAGCTAATTATTGCGTCTTATTCTGCGTATAAATTTTTCATTTCCGATATACAATATAGAATCACAATAGTCGATGGTCATTGATGATCGTTTCGATCGTGCAGTCGCCGGCAAGATTTTTTTCGGGACTTAAATCCAGCCCGCCATGAAATCGAATAGAAATCAGGGGCATCGATATCGGCCTGGACCAGCGGCGTGTGACTGAATGCAGCGTGCCGCACGGCACGATGCATCCTGGCGCGGCACATAAAACGTGAGCCGAGCGAGAGATAACTCTCGCGCCGCGGAGGATCAACTGTGGGCGCGGCGGATATCCCGCTGTGTCTCTCCAGCATGGCCGACGTCATATGCACACCCACGCCGGCCGTGTCTCTCCCCGTGCTTCCCGCTAACCGCCGCCCGTTCCCCCTTTCTCCATTCTCGCCGCATCGAATTACACGGTCGGCGAAGTAATTTACAAAGCTACGCCCGCGAGAGCGCGAGCGCGCCTCATATCCGTTACATCCCTCAGCAGCGGTGGCGGCGGCGGCATGCGCGCAAATTCGCGATCGCCGATAAGGATACCGAGAGATTAATGGCGCCGCGCCGCGGCGCCTTTGTCTTTAACTGGCTAGGGGCACGTCGACAAAAGTAGTCGCGAGGTCCCTGATTAATTAGGAACGCGGGCGTGGTAATGGATTGGGTACGGAGGGGAATATCTCGCGATCGAGAAAATCACATCACTGCTTTCTCCACTTGTCATTTGCGAAAGCGTGAATAATGTGGTTTATAAGGTAAATCATATGTTGTTATAAGTTTTTATATATTATATACAGGACGCAAAAGTATGTTATTGTAGATTTATAAAATATAATACAAATATGCCAAAGAGAGATTTTATTTGAACTTTAGATATTGTAAAAGCCTACATTAAGTGAAAATTTATATTATCCTACAAAATCAATCTTATATCACTTGCGATATAAATGCATGTATATTTATTTTACAATGTATTAAAAAACCCCATCGATTACCGCAAAAAGAAAATAGGAAAAACGATTTTGAATAATGAAGGAATTATTTCAAGGCATCAAAATTGGCCACGATCGAGTTGTTACGCTTGTCCATTGCGAGAGAATAAAATATAATCGCTTCCTGATTCAATTGTCTATTCAGACATTAACGCGAAGAGTCTCGTTTCTTCTCTTAACGTTTTTGACAAGAGTCACGGCTTCTTCCTCCTGGACACACGTCGTCACTTACGTACTTCTCGTATGAATACAGCGAGATTTCCTGTCTCGACGATGCTTCGACAAGTATCAAGCCGTTTAATCTACGCGCCTGTCACTGACGAAGCGAAAACTATTGCTACAGTTTCAAGTATCGGTGCATCCACGATGAGGTGCATCCACGTGCGATAATGATATAACAAGTCATGAATATAATAGAAATATGCAATTGGGCCCTAAACACGCGTTCGCGAACTTTAATTGACGCGGAAGCACCGCACAAGGTCTACCGTTCGCCCATAAAGATGCAGAACTCACGTGTATCCCGCTAGTCATTTAATTCGCAAATGTGGCGGTTAGAGAAGCGTTACGCTTCGGTGCCAGTTTATCGGTAAATGGGGAAACAGCAAACGATGAGTAGGCACTGAACATTAAGGCAATGCTGGTACCTTTTCGAAGCTGATTTCGAAGACGCAATATAAAAGAAAGCGATATATAAATAGAAACAATTTTTGTTTGTACTAAATTAATAATTTATAATACAATATTATCATATATTTCCTATTATATTAATTATAATATCCATATATTATATTAATATTTAATAATTTATATGTATACGTAATAAGAATTTATTCTTTT